CCATTTAACTGTCTCTCGTGATGTATCTTTACATTTCTAGTTGTCAGGGTTATCTTTGCTTTGCATCGATGACGTCAAACTTGTAACCGAAAGCCTTCATTACAATCTGGGATTGTGGGGTTTGAAAGATTGTGGGTAATTACCAGCCATGCAAGGTCTCTAGAGAGAATTGTGAGACTAAAAGTCAGGATATCTTAGTCTCTGCTGCTACCTGAACTGATAATATTAATGACAAGACAACACGGCCAGTTTATTATTATTATTATTATTATTATTATTATTATTATTATTATTATTATTATTTATTAGGAGTGATCACACAATGCCCATAACCATTACACTAAAGGAACAGCATAAAATAAATGAGCACTTACACAAAACATTTAAAGTTAGTCTGGTTGGACTTCCGTAATTTTGTTATCGTCAAACAAATCCCATAAAAAAGACCCAAAACCAACAATGCCTTAATCTGTCTGTCAGTACTTTTCGACTTTCCCAACCTGTCTGCAGCTTTAAGCCCATTTGTTACTGAAGACTTAAATCTTTTAAAATGGTTCAGCAGTATACATTTTCGAAACAGGCTAAATAATTTCCTAAAACAGCCAGGCACTGTAGTTTCCAGCAAACTTTAATCAAACAGGAAGAGATAGTGTTTTTGTTGGGGAGTATTTACAGCTTTGGATTAATACACATTTGGTGTAGTGGGTATTTACGGCAGCTGGACTGTTTATGTTGGACTGACTCCAAGTAGACTACAGTGCCCACCTTCATTATAATGAAGAAACATGTCACCAGGTGCAACTGTGTGGCTCCTTGATGTGTTTTTAATAGTTTTTATACAATGGAGGTCTATGACTCAGAGGAATAAGCTATATTAAGCTTTGGCTACACAAACAACACTTGTTTGACAGGATGAATTAACTGTTGGTTTTGGTCTTTTCACAGGATTTGCTCACCTAAACTTAATATATATATATATAAATATAACTATATATAAATGATCATCTGCATTATTGTCTATTGACTGACCTCGCTTTCTCCAATCCTCTGCAGGGTTCACTCACGCTGACCTGGACCATGAGCAATGATTTGCCTGTTCTGACAAGTCTGAATGAGAACTCCACTGTGAGTACTAGCTGTGTCCACTCCTCCTCCTCCTCACACTCTGTCCAACACCACCAACACATACTCTCCACACCGTCACATTAGCTAGCATCCGTAGTCTGATGAACGACAACTCTTCCTTTTTACGGATCAGGCTGGACCTCAGCCGAAAGCAAAAAAAAAAAGCAAAAAAAAAAAGCAAAAAGGACACTGAGTTAACACCACAGTGTTCCAGGTATTATATCCCAGGTGGAGCAGCAGTGGAGGACAGCCTGATCTGTATCCAAAGAGGATTTGACTCAAAAACAGGACTGAGTGTGCTGCAGGCTTTGTGTGCCATGTAGCCCCTGGAGGACTGGGGGGATATCAGAGCCAGTGGCGGTGATTATCAGACAGTTAAAGCTGTCTGCGTGGAGGGAGAATTGACAATTGTTTGCCTCTACAGTGTGTGTTAGAAACATGGCCTAAAGACTGGCGAGAGACTTTCGCTGCTCCAGCTGATTGATTGTGTTGTTCCTCCTGTTTGGCTGAGCTTGTAAAAACAGCAGATTTCATTAAGCTGCAGACGTTCTGACAAACTGTGTGTGTGTGTGTGTGTGTGTGTGTTTGTGTGCTGCACAGACACATATGAAACCGTGGGTGTAATCAAGGTGTGCATGTTGCCATTAGCTGTGTGGAGCTGTAATTCCTACACACAAACACACACATACACACATACATACATACGTCTTCAAACATTATACTGCATCTCCCCATAGGCTTTAGCTGAATGTAGGCCACTACAGCATTTAATGAATGTAAAAATATACTCTATGCATGTGTGACATGGGACTTAGTTTAACATGTTCTGGCCTGAAGCAGGTTGAGGCTGAATGAAGACGGGAAAAAAAGGGTGTTTTTCAACAACGCACATGATTGTCAACCCTCTCTGGTTTTATAAGTAGAAAATAAAAGCTTCTTCTATTCAGCAGCTCTCTCTGTCCTCGACTTCTGGATTGAGCTTGTGATTGAAGTGGACACAGATTGATTGATGCTTACCGTCGTACCATAACCATTGATGGTGAAAGCAGAGTCATCATAAAATCAGCTCTTTCGGTTTTTATCACACACGCACATCCTCTGTTTTCTTAAACGCCTCCATTACTCGATTGACAGAAGACAAACCTACAACTATTATTGATAATTGATATATTCTTTGGTCATTGCTGCTCCAGTTGTGAGGATGTTCTGCTTTTCTTTCTTTGTCTTATGTCACTGCAATCTCAATATTTTTGGGTTGTGAAGTAATTGTCAGACAATACAAGGAATTTGGAAGCATGAAAAACATATAAATGTCATTTTTCACAATTATCTGACATTTTATAGACAAAAATGATTGATTGAGAAAGTAAGGCAGATTAATCAATAATGAAAGTAGTGTTAGTTGTAGCTCTCATGTCCAGTCAGTAGCAGGCTTTGGGGTCAAGGTCCGGTTAAAGTCATCATCATCTAAAGCTCAGTCTGTGCTTCTCCACTCTACGGTTTCCTTCAAAGCCGTGTGTGATGACAACCTCTAACATTTCCATACATTATATAACACTAAATGCTGCAATAGGTGAATATTCCATTTGGGATTGGATTTCCCAAAAATCCCAATTATTTTCACTCTCTGACATCAGAAGAAGTCATCGGAAGAAGAGCCAGGGGGATTGCTCATGTGCGTCTGCATCCTCCTCCTCAGATTTCCATTTTTAGCCTGCGGAGGCCTCATTTCCCCCTCATTGAGAAGAGATGGGAAATTGAATTAAGGGTCTCGCTGACGTTTCGATTAGCATCCACAGGCTCACTCAGCCAAGACTGAGGGTATTAATCAGAGAGAGTAGAGAAGAGGGCAGTTGTGCTGTCTACTGTATGTACGTGTGTGTGTAGGCAGGCAGGATGTATAGAAGTGTGTATGTGTGTGTGTCTGTGTGTGTGTTTGTGTGTGTGTAATAAACACTGTGAGGAGGCAGGGACTTAAAAAAGTCTCAGTGTTAATTCCACTCCTTATTAAATATTACGCAGCTTATCTGACAGCGTAATGCGACAAAGAGATTCTGCGTTACTGCGAGCTCAAAAGATAGAAGAATCAATTATTGTCCCAGCAGGCCTAATGAAGCCACAGAGCGCTCAACAACCAAACAACGCATATATGTAAGCTTCTGTCTTATTGCGCTGTTAAGGGAATGAGTTATGGGCTCCAGCAATGTCATTTGAATACAAGCAATGGAAATTAAATTGATGTTGTGCAACCCAAACAAAAACAAAGCACTGTGAGCAGCAGGGTTAATCGGATTTTGGTTTTGAGGGCTGATATTTGAGGTGACACAGTTGATATTCAGTCAGCAAATAAAGGCTTTTAGATCATTTTTTTTACTCACGTTTCTGTGTGTATGTTTTTTATGTTGCCTCGATCATCATGTATGTGTGTGAATGTTGTAGTTTTTAGTGAGGTGGGAAAAAGGGGGCTTAGGATCCACTGCACAGAGCATTTTTGGTTTGGGGTTTGAATAGTTGAAATGCCACTCTTGTCATCGTCACTAAAATATTTAGAGAGAGAAAGCAGTTAGAAAAAGACAGAAAGCAGGAGGCAGCCCCATCCAATTCATAGCTGGTAACAGGCCAAATTTCTTTAAAACTCCTGAAAAGTAATTGTCATCTACTCTATCACATTGATCAGTATATGAACTCTGTCATCCAGTGGTGAAAGAGGCACTCAGTCGAAGTCACAAGTCCTGCATTCGAAACCTTTACTTGAAGCTGTACTAACTGACATTTTTATATTAATGATGGATTAAATGATTGTGAGCGGTTTTAAAAGGGCATAGTGATGAGCACCAAGCAAACAAAATTTAACCTTTAGCAAATAAAACAACAGCAACCCAAAAGGAGCAGGAATATTGGACTCCAATGCTAATGTTGCTTCATATCTGCTGGATGTGTAAGCAACTTTATGCTAACACATTAGCTATAACAACCATATAAAATGCAATGCACTTTTGGGGGGTCCAAAGATAAAAAGACTGATTGTAAGTTTTTATATCTGATTAATAATATTATCATTCATTTAAACCGCTATATATCCTTTATATTATTATAAGGTGATTTGATGTTTTGTACATAAAAAACCTGATCTGTAGCAAGTACAAACTATTGCTGTCAAATGTAGTGGAGTTGAAAGTATAATGCAGGATTTAGAAGTACAAAGCAGCATTAATGGAAATACTGAAGTACCTCGAAATTCTACTCAAGCACAGTACTTGACTGAATGTACCAGTGGTGGGGACCTAATCTCTTCTCTTCTTCATCAGGATGTGCCTGTATCTGCGGGCCAGGTGGAGAACTATGTGCTGCTGTTGGTGCTGCTGAGTGTATTTGCCGGGGGGACGCTGGTCCTGCTCTCCCTGCTGCTCCTCTTCTGTCACCGCTGCTGCATGGGTGGACGACGTTACTCCAGGTGGGTGCGCCCTGTTGAGTGACACACAGTGTGGGACTGGTAGGCCTGGTTTGTCTGCAAACACACGGGGATTACAGGAGCCTACGTTATTGTTACAGCAGTGGATTAAAGCTGGATTGAATATGAATTTGGAAGCTGTTTCAAATGTTTTTGTTTCTGTGAAAGAGCACAAAGAGTAAAACAAATTTCCCCCTTTCAGAGCCAGCGATGATCTTGAAAAGACAAACACCACCTATGCTGAGGATTCTCAGCCCACCCAAGGTCAGAGCTGTGTGTATTTTTAAATTCATATGTATTTTGGTCCGCGGCCGTCACTAACTTCATTATTTCTCTCTCTCGGTTTGTCCTTGTTGGCTTTGTCACTCAGAGATCACCATTCATCTGGATGAATCAGATGCTCTCTCAGCTTCGAGCTGTCACGATGGAGAGTCAGAACGATTTGTCTCCACTGGGTCTACTGGCCGCAGAGTCTCCTTCAATGAATCTGCCCTTTACGAAAAGGAGAAGACGACTCAAGACAAAGCACGCAGGTACTGTTCAACTGAACTGAGTGAGTTTTTACATTATTATCTGCTGATGAAGGAATTAGATTAGATGATTCGTCCTATTTCTCAGGTACACTCTGACTGAGGGAGACTTCCACCACCTGAAAAAGGCTCGGTTGACCCACCTTCACCTGCCTCCTGCCCCGTGTGACCTGAAGATCCTCACCATCATGGAGTGCGACTCCACAGAGAGCAGCACCGTCAACATCAGTGAGTCGGAAGCTACCAAACTGCCCCTCACCATCTACCAGGTAACTTGACACTGGGAGTGATTTATCTCACACATTTCACCAAATCAGGTTTGTTTTCTCTAACCTGCATTTCTTTCTTTCCCTAGCCCACTGAGAGAAGAGTCCCTGACTGGATGGGACAGAGCCTCAGCGGCGGTCTGCCAGGAGACCCGCACCACTCCACCATCCTGGACCAGGGCCCCAGACAAGCCTCGTCAGCCATGAAAAAACAGCACACACGGTCCCAGACAGTGAGTTTCACATTCTTCCACTTTTCTGAGTTAGAAAATCGTCATTACATATTTTTTTTGCTGCTAATGAAACAGCAACATTTCTGGGTCAGACTCGCGGGAATGCCAGTTTTAAATCAGCTGAAATTGTTATCATGTTTTCAGTACCTGCTTGGAACTTTTTTTATTGAGATGAACTTTTTTCAAATTCTGCAAACCATTAATTGTTTTTTGTTGTAAAATTTTAAGTAAGCCAATATTCACACAGTTTGGGCAGAAATACATTTGCACAGATAGATTGTTCAGTGCAGATTGATCCCTGTGTATCACACATAGACAGAGCTGTGAAAAGCAGCTGCCACAGGCTCAACCCCACTGATGTGCTGTAACATCAGTTATCACTGCAACTGAGTGACAATATGACAAACTGCTGTCCCCTAAAGGCTTTGCCTCTGCCCGTCACGATTCATCTCAGCTCGTCTGCCTCAACCTCTCCTTAATGTCTCATCACCTCCCTCCATCCTCCTCTCCTTTCATCTCTTCTGTCAGATGGAGGCTGTCGGGGACAGGGGAGAGGCTGAGAGTGAGAAGGGGATGAGAGGAGAGTTGACTCAAGCTCCGGGCCAGACCTCAGTTCTACATTTCTTCTCTAAACTGCGACGCCATGCCAGTCTGGAGGGGGCAGGGCCTTACTTCCAGAGGTGGAAGTTTGACAGCAGTCACCGGGCTGCCAGCCTGGATGCCAAAGGTTTGGATAAATGTCACAAATAGAGTAAGATATTGCATCTAGCTTTGCAAAGGAATAACATTATAATTTAAAAAACTGCAAGTAAAAAGGTGAAAAACATCAAGTTGACAGCTATCTTCTTATGTGAATTTCCACCAGGATCCCCAAAGAGAAAGCCCTTCCAGAGGCAGAGAGCAGCAAGTGAAACCACTGATCACACCGAAGACGACTCTTCTGTCCAAGATGAGGTCATTGAATCTTTCCCACACACTCCCATCCAGACCAGTGGCCTCCAGTCACTCTCTGCAGAGTCTCTGTCTCACCCTGCCACCACACCCACATCCTCAGTCTTCCTCAGCAGGTACATCTCTTCCCATAATCACATCACTTGCACCATGAAATTCCCAGAATTGCTGATTAACTGACTGTTATTTATCTATGTAGGCTAAAACTGGAGGCCATGGTGGAGGTAGGTGGTGGCAACAGCACCAGAAGAGCAGATTTCTGTTCGTCGACAAATGATAGTCACGCCCAGAGGAAAGAGGAGGCCACACCCAATGGAACAGGAGCAGAAAAAGAAAAAAAGTTTGGCACAGTTAGGAGGAAAGAAGCAGCGGGAGTCGAGCTAAAACTGGTAGACGATGATGACTTGTTTGGGGCACAACAAGAATCTGGCGTACAGGAAAGGTTTGAAGACATGTCAAGGAAAACTAAAGACACAAAGACAGACCACATGACATCAGATGTGAGGAAAAAGAGCGAGACAGAAGTAGATGATGGAGATGAGGTGGTGTTGGGAGCTGAGGCCAGAGGAAGGGCCGACTCAGGCTCGTCTCTTTCCTTCATGATTCGCCAGGAGAGCTCAGAAGCTCCTCCCTCCCTGTACAGAGACATTTGGAGCTTACGAGCCTCCCTGGAGCAATACGCTTCCTCAGACCAGAGCAGCACAGATCGGGAGTCCATCCGCAGTGATGCCGACAGCGTATCATCCCTAGGTGGGGCAGGACCTCGCTCTGGCCTAGACAGCTGCCTGTCTCAAGACTTGGATGATGAGCCTGAAGGAGAAGGGGACGGAGAGGTGCTGGAGGGAGGAATCAAAGGGGCATCAGGTGGGGACAGTGAGATGGGAAGTGGAGCTGTAGGAGAAGGTGAGGCAGGGAACCGAAAGCTCCTCCAAATGGACAGTGGCTATGCCTCCATTGAAGCACCATCCAGGGCCCCTGAGGAAATGCGCCTTTTTGGGACTCCTGGAGCTCCTCGAGGGAAGACAGCGTCCGAAAGAAGGTTGTTCTTCACTAGCTCTGGGAGAAAAGGTTCAGTGTGCGAGAGCATTGAGGCCAAGCTGTTTCAGGAAGAGCTGGAGGATGAGATGGCCGACAGCACAGAGACAGAGGAGAAACTAAAGGAGAGCTCTCAAACTGGCAGCCAGCCTCTTACCCTTCAAGAACCATATCAACTTCTGAAATCCCTTCATCCTCAGAAACCTCCAGAATCACAACCACAGCTGATGTCGCCGCTGTTGAAGCCAGTCCCACCGCCCTCTAGTCCTCACCCACCACGTCTCCGTCGCCGTGACTACAGCATTGATGAGAAGACAGACGCGCTTTTCAACGAGTTCCTCCGCCATGATCCACGGTTTGACCAGCAGGATTCTCCGCTGCGCTCCAGGCACCGATCCAGAGTTCACCTCCGGAAACAGTGGCAGAGGCACAAGCAGTACAGCGATCCGGGGTCAGGGGCTGGGGGTAGGTACTCCCCATCTTTGGAGAGGCAGAGGTTCACTCCGCTGCGTAGAGGTGACAGCGCCGGTTACCCTCTGGACACCAGGTATCACAGCACACTCTCGCGCATTGCGAGTGCTGCCGATGAAGAGGCCAGTGAGGTTGCAGGTTGTGAGGAAGCAGCCAAAGAGAGCGCAGTGAACAAAGATCCATCAAATGAAGGAGCTTCGGGGAACGCCACAGAAAGTAAAGCCAGCGAAGCGTCTGAAGACACTGAAGCAACAAAGAGTTGCGCAGAGTCAACTGGTGAAGTCTCTACAAAAAAGGACACAGAAAGCACAACTAGCCAGTCTTTGACCACGGTGACTACACAGAAGAGCTACATGGATCCAAGAGTCGACAACAGAAACAACAACAGCAGTCAAGCTATTCTATCAGAGGTTTCCCTGCAGACAGAGAGCAGCCTGACAGACAAGCTGGTTGTGTCAGTGGAAGAAAGGCTCTATGGCGGCCTGCGCAGTGCAGACAAGCTCAGTCAGGGAGGAACGGAGCGCATGCTTACCGTGTCTCACACAGCTGCACCTGGCTTCAGTCCCATATAACTTGTTAACAATCCCATGTTCTTCATTACCTTTATTTCAAATCCATTGTCTATAGATGACAGACTTGGAACATAATGGTCTATAGCACAAATCATAATGTGTTTGACGTGGTCAATCTCGATGTCCTTTTACATTTGGACAAATCTTCATTATAAACATGGTCTGATAACTGAAGCATCAAAACACAGTATTCTCGAAGGACAGAATTACCTTCTCGATGGCCAGTCTCTTCCAGCATTTCCGTTCAGACCTTAATTTCCACTGTGACACCATGTGACATGTGATGCCCCTTTTTATTTGTAACTGTTAAAATCAAATGGGTTCATTGCGTTGCTTTGAAAATATAGGCCCATCTTCTAGAAAACAAATATTTTCAGACTTAACTGTGAATTTTCAGCATGCTACTGTATGTCCAAACAATGTGTATGTGAATACTGTACAGTTTTAACTTTAAAACAAAAAGCACTTTGATGGGAAGAAAGATAACGATGGAGTTTCTGTCACCCGTTTCTCTCATTTTAAAACCATATCCTCCTCAAGTGTCCTTCTTGTCTTGATCACCATGAGGGTAAACGTCTCCATGAAAGCTTGTGATTTCTGTATTTGGCGATAGGAAGAATCACTGACCATGTAAAATACCCCATTATAATTCTTCAGTGCTTGCAGCCCTCTGTCATTAACACCACGTCAGCAGATCTGGAGAATTACGCACACTATATCATAAACGTAAAAACAGATGGGATACACAGACACCACAGCGATTGAAAATACGTTTATCAAGAATTTTTATACTCATCTATTTTTATAGGATTTTTGTTAGTCATTTGTCTGTTATTCATCATAATTAAGGAGGTGGTATCCAGGAGCTTCCGTGGGCTCGAGAGAGTGTTGTATCACTGCTGGGACTCTGTTGAGGGGGAGACTGACAGATGATACTTTAAAGTGACTGACACAGGAGCCTCTCAGGCTTTTAGACAGATGGTCCAGTGACAGAGAGTTTAGGCTGTGAAAGCGGAGGTTGAAACTGAATAGCAGTGGCGCTGTCTGCTCCCAAATCCCAGCAGAATGGGATATACTCACTCTGTATTACTAAATAAGATCTGTTTCTAGTCTATATTTTTCTTGTCAACAAATTCCATGAAAAGACCAAAACTAACAATTAATCCATCCTACTATCAAGAATTACATGTGTAGCCAAAGGCTGATATAGCTTATTCCTCTGCACCATGGAGCTCAATTGATGTCCAAAAACTTACTCAAATATGCACTAGAGCACAAAATGTGTTAATCCGTAGCAGAAGAAAGTGCTCAAAAATGCACAATTTATTCCAGTTTGAGTTAGGTTTGCTAAAAACAACTACCCAGCTCTTTTAGGAAACTCAACATAAAACAAAGAGCATATATTTGTGACCGTTTCTAAATAATTAAATAAAGTTTAATAGTTAAACAAACACCTTGTTGGTTTTGCTTTCATGGGAGTTGTTGACGTTAAGAAGACACAGATTGCCAGCCTTACCTATAAGGGATGTTTCACAGATTTACATGTTAGAATCTGGTAGTCTCACAGGCTGAACAGCTTTCTTTTCACTCTGTTGCAGTATGGATGTAAAGTATAATTGTTCATTCTGCATTCTCTCTTGAACATAAAGCATTGCTGCATGTTATAATGTGTGATGAAGACGGTCACCTGGGAAACTGCAGTGGTAGGTACAGCGTGTTCCTTTTTTCTTTCACACAGACTTGGGTTTGAGCTACAGTATGTGTGCGTGTGTATCTTATGAAACTCATATCTTTGTCCTCATTCATGGTGAACCATCTGCTTTATTGTAAAACGAGTAGTGCAGAAAATTCAAATGTCTTGCAGCCTTTGCAAAGGCTAGACCTTGTGGGACCAACCGAGGCACATATTCATTTGGACTTAACATTTTTCTGAATAAAAAAAAAAATAAAATAAAAAAAGAGCGACTCCTTTACCCATGATTTTATGCTGTTGAAATGTGATTCATGTGAGCTGATGTACTCTGTGAAACTGTCACAAAGCAGAATCATTTCCATGAGAACAGAAAGCAAAGAAAGGTGTCCTACACTAGTCATACTGCTGAAATATACTTGCTAACATAAGACATCTCTTCATCCTTGCCACGTTTCTCCTCGTGTGTCTTGTTGAACGGAGAGCCTCTCCGTCGACCTTGCTGACGTGATAAGCGCTGTTCTCTCCCTCCCTCAGCGTTGTGACTCACCTGCTCTCTGATCTATTCCCAGCGAGGGGCTGATGATGGTCCTGGCTGCGTAAGAGGGGGGCAGGGCTCCCACTGATGTGATCGGCACAACAAAGAGCATCGCTGGAAAAACAGACGACCGGGTGATTGTGACGGCACACCGCCTGCAGCTGAGCGGCAGTGGCTCTTGATATTCTAGGGTTTGACTACAAACTAGCTGCAGACATTAAAAAAAGATGAGTGTAGTATTCCTTATCAAAGTATAACCTTGTAGAAGGACACGTAAAATAATAATAAACAAAAAACAGTACATAAACCACTGAGGTGTATTGCATAATAAAAATATACTCAACTCAAAGTTAAACAGAAAGGATCATCCAACAAAACAGCCTGTTTGGGACATATTTTATATAAATAATAATTAAAAAATATTCATTGGAAAAAAGAAAAAGGAAAAAAACCTAAATGGAAATCAAAAATCCCCAACAGGTCAGCGGTGGATCTCAAGGCTTCAGTCAGTCTGTCCACAAACCAAGCACTTTCCCTTTCTTCCAGCTCTGTACAGCATGCAGTTTTTTTTATGTTGGTGGTAGTAGAGTACTATCATAATTATTCTCATCATAGATCTAAATATAGAATTATTCATAACTTTTGTCATTTTTTTTCCTCTTAAATTTTTTACACATCACAATGTGTCTTAAAAACTGCCATTAGGGTTCTGTAAAAACAAAGGTAGTCAAAGAAAGGTGGGGTAGAGGGGGGTGGATGCGGGGGGTACAGGGGTGATGGTGTTTGTAACGTCCGGTGCAACCCTCGGCCCTCCGAAGAGGAGAACGGGATGGAGAGGGGAAATTACTAGATGACAGAACTGGATGACAGGAGTTGAAAGGAGCCAAAATATAGGAGGAAAAAAAAACAAAAACAAAAAAACACCATCTTCACAGCCAGTGCCTCAGTCTCAGAGCAAAAAGAACATTTCATGCTGTCCTCCTCCCCGTCACTCATACCGCATTTTCAAAAGACTCTGCAGGCCAGTGGTCCAAGGAGGTATGGGGGCATTAACGTCAGCAGGTTTCTCTCACAACTGTGAGGACTCCGGACACAGAAGGACGGGGACAGATCAACCTGAGAGGGACAGAGAACAACTTCAGTTTTATTTTTAGTTCTTCTTATCACATTTAATGACCACAAATTCCCCTGAGTTAAAAGTCAAAAGCATCACAGAAGTAGAACAAGAAAGTACTAATTGGTGCTGCTAACACGGAAAGGCTCATCTACTGGGTGACAAAGAGAGAGACACAAACATCCCACAGCCCACTTCATCTCATCCAGGGTGAGTCATCGCCTGAACAAATTAATACACAGCATCTCCTCTGCAGTGCACCCATGACAAACAGCCTCACACCGTGAGTGGTTTGTATGTGTGAGAGATTGAAAGAGCAAACTGTGGGTGGTAACTGGAAAGAGAGGAGGACAACCTGTTAAATTGGTGTGTGTGTGTGTGTGTGTG